GAGGCAATGGACCATTGAACGTACCCAACCCATGTCGGAGTCCAGAAATGATCCGGGTGATTAAGAACTAAGTACCCAGTCTTGGTACGAAGCGTGAGCAACTTCGCGAGAGAATGCTTGGGGTGGAAGACACTTTTGTCAGAACAGAGCCCTGCCAGCATACAGACCGTCGCAGAAGTTTTTCGTCTGGAAGGGAGAGTCGAAGAAATCACACCGGAACCAGCGGATTCGCAAGACAAGGAAGAAGCGGTGATTATAGAGGAGGCTCACCTGTTGACCAAGCCTAGGATGTGTTGTTGGAACTACGGCCAGTTTGATCACGGATTCCGCGATTGTGTGGCCAAGGAACGCAGCATCTTTTGTTACCGCTGTGGAAAACCGGAACACTTTACTCCGACATGAGCGAATTGTTCGGGAAACAGCCGACCAAGCGTGACGAAATCAGGTGAGCAACGCTTAGGCTGGAAACCTGCGTCGAAGTAGATGATAAGCTTGAAGTAAATGATCAACATATTATTAATAAACAAAATATATTAGGTATTAATAAGTTAAGGTTTCTACCAGCCGAGGAAAGAATGAAAATATATATGGAAGTCGGAAACAGGATTTTCGACGCCAGACAGCTTGCAGGTATGCGGGGAGTCAGCCGCAGGGTTCTAAAGACCCGCTCACGCTTTAAGGCGACAAACGCGTAAGTAGGTGGCGAATCAGTCCAACGTGGAACGAGAACGGATCCATGGGTTTTCGCTGGGGTACCATACACGGCCGGAAGATTGCGGGACTGCTGGATACAGGAGCCTCCGTAAGTCTACTGGGCGAAGACAGTAGGGAGCTGATGGCCGAACTCGGGGTAGAGATGGAAGGATATGTGTTCGTCGCGAAGACAGATCTATAATTGGAAAAATATAGCTTCCTGTTGGATACAAGGGGATTGTAGAAGACATTCACTTCTACATATGCCCGTACCTGGAACAATCGATGTACTTGGGTATCGATATCTGGAGATTTTTGAGTTGGCTCCAGCAGTTCTAGGCGACGAAAACAGCGAATCCAGTCACGCCCAAGTAGCTGAAGTCAAGATGTCCGAGATCAGCCACTATGCGGAAGATAGAAGACAAGAAACGGAAGTAGAACTTGGGACCTGAAAAAGAATGAAGCTGAGAAGTTGGAAAACGTGAAGAAGGAATTTTTGACTTACGAAGAAGCTGGGCTAGGAACGACTGCAGCAGAACAGCACTATATCCAGTTGGTGGGGGGCGCAGTACCGTTTAAGGATCGTTGTTATCCGCTATCACCAGCGATGCAGGAAGTGGTCTGGAAAGAAGTAGACAAAATGCTAGAGCTAGAGGTTATAGAGGTTAGTGACAGTCTGTGGAGCAGTAGAATAACGGTCGTGCGAAAGCCAGATAAAAACCGATTCTGCTTGGACGCGCGGAAACTTAACCAACTCACCATAAAGGACGCCTACCCTCTCCCGAGTATCGAAGGCATATTGTCTAGGATCGACCAGACATAATATATATCTAGCGTCGATCTTAAATTTTGCGTTCTGACAAATAAAATTGGAACCGGAAAGCCGGAAGTATACCGCTTTCACAGTAGCCGGACGTCCACTTTACCAATTCGTGATGATGCCCTTCGGTCTCTGCAATGCTGCCCAAAGATTATGTCGACTGATGGACCAAGTCATTCCAACACAACTACGATCAAACGTATTTGTCTATCTGGACGATCTTCTGGTGATAGCTCCTGGCCTCCAGACGCATCTGCGATTTCTCCGTTTGTCAGCACAATGCCTGATACGAGCAAATTTAACGATAGGGCTAAAGAAGTCTAAATTTTGTTTCAAATCTTTAAAATACTTTGAGTTTATCATTGGGGGGTGGAAGCTGCAAATGGATCCAGAAAGAGTGTTGGCCATACAGAAGAATCCTGATCCGAAGAACGTAATGGAGATACTAAGCTTCCTAGGTACAGCAGGGTGACACAGGCGATTCATTAAAAACTTTGCATCCATTGCAGCACCGCTAACCGACGACCTCAAGAAACATCCAAGAGGCAAGATGGCGCTAACTACAGCGCAAATATTAGTCCATGCTGATTTTAAACGTCCATTCTTTATCCAATGCTACGCCTCTAACAATGGAGTGGGAGCAGTATTGTTCCAGTTGGACGACGAAAATTCAGAGCGTCCCGTAGCTTTCTTCTCTTCCAAGCTTAATAGTATAAACATCAGATTTTGTATTCCATCACTGAAAAAGAATGTCTGGGAGCGATGTTAGTAGTTGAAAAGTTTAGGCCTTACGTGGAGCTGATGCCGTTTTTTGTGATCACGGACCACGCAAGCCTAAAATGGCTAATGTCCCTCAAGGATCTAAATGGACGTTTGGCAAGGTGGTCTTTAAAGCTTCAGAGATTTAACTTTAAAATTGAGCATCGCAAGGAAACTGAGAACGTGGTTGTCACGCTGCATAGCGGAGTTAAGTTTGGATTTATCAGATGCAACATTGCCTGATTTACGCGTGGATGGGGCTTTAATCTTCAAAAGAACAGCATTCGAACATCTTGACGACCAAGTTGAAGGCTCAATTTGGAAGCTGTGGATCCCGACAGGAATAACATCTACACTTACAGCGAACGCGCACGAGGATCACAAAGCTGCACACGGGGGGATGAAAAAGACACTTCATCGTCTAAAACGTCATTTCTACTGGCCGGCTATGACGACACAAGTGCGGGAGTATGTCCGGAATTGCACCAAATGCAAGGAATCAAAACTGCAATTAGAACGTATTTAGAATATGATCATAGAGACTGGGACTTATACTTACCGGAAATAGAAGTGTCGATTGTCGACTGGCAAGAAAACTGCAGTCCTTGACAGAACATCAAATAACGAAGCTAGATCCAGTAGATAAGCGCCAACTTATCCGCGATCACATCCGGAAAAATCTTCATCAGGCATATGAATACAGCAACCAGCGCTATAACAAACGGGCTCGAGTTTTCCATGCCAAGCCTGGCCAAGAATGATGTACAATGCCAAGTTTGCTCGAAAATATGTGAAATGCCGAGTCGGTCTCCCTATAGGGAACAATGCCTACGATTTGGAGGATCTGGGGGGAAGCCTGTTGGGATTTTCCACGCAAAAGACCTAAAAATGTAAATATAAATAGTGGATGTAGCTGTAGGCGTCACAAGCATCACAAGGAGAATTGATCTAGTCTGTCCGTCCCAAAAGTAGAAACTTTCCCAAAAGTTGTCTTCCTATTGCAGGTAGTATATAAGTCGGAACGAGTCGAATCAGACGACGTTATCATATAGCTCCCATAGAAACAATCGGAAACTTAAAAATAATATCAAAAAAAATTAAATTAAAATTTTTTTGTTAATTGTTTTGGCCATATGAATGGTTTAATAATTCAGAATTACGCTTTTAATTTTATTTAAATCGAAAAACGATATAATAAAGCTGCAATAGAAACATCAAAATAATTGAAGTGAAAATTATTTCCATTTCCGATCAAAGATATGCATGAACCTTTTAGAGTACTATGTAATTACTATAACAAACTCTATCACATAATTTCTGTTACCTACTCTTTAAAAGCATTAAGCTTATTTTACTTACCACGAAATTAGTATGTAGTATTTTGTTTCGTAAGTATTTTGAATTCCTTTCCTTCCGTTCCTTTTTTGTCCCTTTTCTTCGATATCTCGCTAAATGAATGGATAAAGATGCGAATCTTAATTTTTCAGCAAAAAATTATTTTCAAAAAGAACCTTCGTATCTTTTCGAAGAACTTCAGTTTACATCCTCTAGAAGAGCAAACAATCTTATTTGCATAAGACCTAGATCACTGCATCCGAAAGACAATTTTTAATTAAAGGCATTCGATCATTGAATCAGTTCCCCAACCATCTTAAAAATATTAGCAGTGCCACGCAATTCAAGATAAAATTATTCACACACCTTAAAAATACAATTACGTAAATTAAAGAAAAATTGGAAGGCGACTTAGGTTAGTTTTTATGAAAATTAGTTTAAAGTATAATGTAACAATTAAATATTTGCAACTCTTAGTGACTAGCGCATTATTAATAAACAAAATATATTAGGTATTAATAAGTTAAGGTTTCTACCAGCCGAGGAAAGAATGAAAATATATATGGAAGTCGGAAACAGGATTTTCGACGCCAGACAGCTTGCAGGTATGCGGGGAGTCAGCCGCAGGGTTCTAAAGACCCGCTCACGCTTTAAGGCGACAAACGCGTAAGTAGGTGGCGAATCAGTCCAACGTGGAACGAGAACGGATCCATGGGTTTTCGCTGGGGTACCATACACGGCCGGAAGATTGCGGGACTGCTGGATACAGGAGCCTCCGTAAGTCTACTGGGCGAAGACAGTAGGGAGCTGATGGCCGAACTCGGGGTAGAGATGGACAGATATGTGTTCGTCGCGAAGACAGATCTATAATTGGAAAATATAGCTTCCTGTTGGATACAAGGGGATTGTAGAAGACATTCACTTCTACATATGCCCGTACCTGGAACAATCGATGTACTTGGGTATCGATATCTGGAGATTTTTGAGTTGGCTCCAGCAGTTCTAGGCGACGAAAACAGCGAATCCAGTCACGCCCAAGTAGCTGAAGTCAAGATGTCCGAGATCAGCCACTATGCGGAAGATAGAAGACAAGAAACGGAAGTAGAACTTGGGACCTGAAAAAGAATGAAGCTGAGAAGTTGGAAAACGTGAAGAAGGAATTTTTGACTTACGAAGAAGCTGGGCTAGGAACGACTGCAGCAGAACAGCACTATATCCAGTTGGTGGGGGGCGCAGTACCGTTTAAGGATCGTTGTTATCCGCTATCACCAGCGATGCAGGAAGTGGTCTGGAAAGAAGTAGACAAAATGCTAGAGCTAGAGGTTATAGAGGTTAGTGACAGTCTGTGGAGCAGTAGAATAACGGTCGTGCGAAAGCCAGATAAAAACCGATTCTGCTTGGACGCGCGGAAACTTAACCAACTCACCATAAAGGACGCCTACCCTCTCCCGAGTATCGAAGGCATATTGTCTAGGATCGACCAGACATAATATATATCTAGCGTCGATCTTAAATTTTGCGTTCTGACAAATAAAATTGGAACCGGAAAGCCGGAAGTATACCGCTTTCACAGTAGCCGGACGTCCACTTTACCAATTCGTGATGATGCCCTTCGGTCTCTGCAATGCTGCCCAAAGATTATGTCGACTGATGGACCAAGTCATTCCAACACAACTACGATCAAACGTATTTGTCTATCTGGACGATCTTCTGGTGATAGCTCCTGGCCTCCAGACGCATCTGCGATTTCTCCGTTTGTCAGCACAATGCCTGATACGAGCAAATTTAACGATAGGGCTAAAGAAGTCTAAATTTTGTTTCAAATCTTTAAAATACTTTGAGTTTATCATTGGGGGTGGAAGCTGCAAATGGATCCAGAAAGAGTGTTGGCCATACAGAAGAATCCTGATCCGAAGAACGTAATGGAGATACTAAGCTTCCTAGGTACAGCAGGGGTGACACAGGCGATTCATTAAAAACTTTGCATCCATTGCAGCACCGCTAACCGACGACCTCAAGAAACATCCAAGAGGCAAGATGGCGCTAACTACAGCGCAAATATTAGTCCATGCTGATTTTAAACGTCCATTCTTTATCCAATGCTACGCCTCTAACAATGGAGTGGGAGCAGTATTGTTCCAGTTGGACGACGAAAATTCAGAGCGTCCCGTAGCTTTCTTCTCTTCCAAGCTTAATAGTATAAACATCAGATTTTGTATTCCATCACTGAAAAAGAATGTCTGGGAGCGATGTTAGTAGTTGAAAAGTTTAGGCCTTACGTGGAGCTGATGCCGTTTTTTGTGATCACGGACCACGCAAGCCTAAAATGGCTAATGTCCCTCAAGGATCTAAATGGACGTTTGGCAAGGTGGTCTTTAAAGCTTCAGAGTTTTAACTTTAAAATTGAGCATCGCAAGGGAAACTGAGAACGTGGTTGCTGACACCCTGTCACGCTGCATAGCGGAGTTAAGTTTGGATTTATCAGATGCAACATTGCCTGATTTACGCGTGGATGGGGCTTTAATCTTCAAAAGAACAGCATTCGAACATCTTGACGACCAAGTTGAAGGCTCAATTTGGAAGCTGTGGATCCCGACAGGAATAACATCCACACTTACAGCGAACGCGCACGAGGATCACAAAGCTGCACACGGGGGATGAAAAAGACACTTCATCGTCTAAAACGTCATTTCTACTGGCCGGCTATGACGACACAAGTGCGGGAGTATGTCCGGAATTGCACCAAATGCAAGGAATCAAAACTGCAATTAGAACGTATTTAGAATATGATCATAGAGACTGGGACTTATACTTACCGGAAATAGAAGTGTCGATTGTCGACTGGCAAGAAAACTGCAGTCCTTGACAGAACATCAAATAACGAAGCTAGATCCAGTAGATAAGCGCCAACTTATCCGCGATCACATCCGGAAAAATCTTCATCAGGCATATGAATACAGCAACCAGCGCTATAACAAACAGGCTCGAGTTTTCCATGCCAAGCCTGGCCAAGAATGATGTACAATGCCAAGTTTGCTCGAAAATATGTGAAATGCCGAGTCGGTCTCCCTATAGGGAACAATGCCTACGATTTGGAGGATCTGGGGGGAAGCCTGTTGGGATTTTCCACGCAAAAGACCTAAAAATGTAAATATAAATAGTGGATGTAGCTGTAGGCGTCCACAAGCATCACAAGGAGAATTGATCTAGTCTGTCCGTCCCAAAAGTAGAAACTTTCCCAAAAGTTGTCTTCCTATTGCAGGTAGTATATAAGTCGGAACGAGTCGAATCAGACGACGTTATCATATAGCTCCCATAGAAACAATCGGAAACTTAAAAATAATATCAAAAAAAATTAAATTAAAATTTTTTTGTTAATAGTTTTGGCCATATGAATGGTTTAATAATTCAGAATTACGCTTTTAATTTTATTTAAATCGAAAAACGATATAATAAAGCTGCAATAGAAACAACAAAATAATTGGGTTGAAAATTATTTCCATTTCCGATCAAAGATATGCATGAACCTTTTAGAGTACTATGTAATTACTATAACAAACTCTATCACATAAATTCTGCTACCGACTCTTAAAAAGCATTAAGCTTATTTTACTTACCACGAAATTAGTATGTAGTATTTTGTTTCGTAAGTATTTTGAATTCGTCCTGTCCGTTCCTTTTTTGTCCCTTTTCTTCCACTTCTCTCGATATCAATTTCTATAGCCCTTGTGTTGTTGGGTTGATGATGAGGAAAAAAAACAAAATTTAAGTTCTATTTAATTGCAAAGCCAGGTATATATTCAACCTATTACATAAAAACCACGTATCCGAATTTTCGCAGAAAATATTCGATATCTCGCTAAATAAATGGATAAAGATGCGAATCTTAATTTTTCAGCAAAAAATTATTTTCAAAAAAGAACCTTCGTATCTTTTCGAAGAACTTCAGTTTACATCCTCTAGAAGAGCAAACAATCTTATTTGCATAAGACCTAGATCACTGCATCCGAAAGACAATTTTTAATTAATGGCATTCGATCATTGAATCAGTTCCCCAACCATCTTAAAAATATTAGCAGTGCCACGCAATTCAAGATAAAATTATTCACACACCTTAAAAATACAATTACGTAAATTAAAGAAAAATTGGAAGGCGACTTAGGTTAGTTTTTTATGAAAATTAGTTTAAAGTATAATGTAACAATTAAATATTTGCAACTCTTAGTGACTAGCGCATTAGCTTATAAGTTCCAAAATTGTAGCGTTAGGATGAAATTTTGTAATAAAATACAAAATACAAATAAAAAGAGTTGTTCACTTAAGTGAGTGAACTGAACATGTTCACAATTATTGATCTTTTTTGCTCACTTTTAGTCACAGTTACTCACTTGTTCAGTTGCTCAGTTGTTCAGTTAAGTTGTTGTTAGGCATGCCAACTAAATGGAACAACCAATCACTTTGAGTAGTGAATTTAAACTGTTTTATTTTTCCAAATTTTGTTTCCAAGATTCTTATTCTAGACTTATCTATGGCCTACGCAGAGACCGCATTAGTTTGCCTGAGAGAGGGAGTTATTTTGGCCCCGCACAGGAGCCCTTGGTGCAGTGTGTGAGGCATGCAGTTACAAGTGCTAAGAGCTGCACCCTTGTCTTATTTTAAGTAACACATCGTAAATTATGGCTCTAGATCGATTAGTAGCCTGATTCGATTGACGCATTAGTGGACTTTTTAAATGTGCTGATTCCTTTGGCGCATTAGCATTTAGCTATTGCTAACAGCTGATCTGGATTTTTTTACTTTGAACTGTCGCAAATCAAACGGAATAAATTAAAAATCATGAATATGAGCGAATTTACGGTAATCTTTAATGATCAGCAGGATATCAACAATGCTAACTAGGCATTTGCCAACTTGGATGATAAGGAAGGGGAGCTGATGAAGTTGTTTGACGGGTTTGCAAAGGAGACCATCACAGTTTATAAAATAGAGCAAGGATCCCCGTATATGTGGGAGTTTTTTACTGCCAGAGATCCAGCAGTAATGCATTGTGCCAGCTTTAAAGCTGCTTTAAGATGTATAGTCATGGTTGCCGTGTCAATTCTTCGACCAGATTTTGCGTTAGATCACGAAGACTGGCAAATAGTTGAAGATGAGTTCCCAGTACTGAAACCGTAACTGTAAAAATATATTCTGCAAAAAATTTTACTCTCTCAAGGGTCATAATTCTAAGTAAACTTTTACATTCAAAAATGAAAAAAATGTGTTCCATAAATGTATCGGTTACAATGATATTTGAGGAGCTGCGAAGCGAAATGGCACGCCGATTCAAAGATTTGGAAGAGATTGACCTCTTTAAAGAATGTCTGTACTTTACTACTTTACTGCTCGAAAGGAGGATACATTGATATGGTGGAAGTCAAGGAAAGACATTTATCCTCGATTGTATAACATTGCATTACAGCGACTATGTTTGCTGGCAACGTCTGATTTTATAGTATTTGATAAGAGGGATGTTAATAATAACATAGACCATATAAGACAGCAGGTAAATAATAGTAAAATAATGTCAGCAAGTGAAACATGTTAGCAAACTTGATCAACTAAATAGCTGAAAACATAAACAAATGAACAAATGAGCAACTGAACACGTGAGCAAAAAAAAAAAATAATTTACGGATAAATAACGGCAAATTCCACGCTAAAAAATTTTGGAAAGTTAAAGTTTAATAAGATGTTCTGCTAACTTGATATCAAGTTAGCAGAACAACTATGTTTTAAAAAAGAATTTACGAATTATTTACGGATAAATAACGGCAAATTCCAACTTGATATCAAGTTAGCAGAACAACTATGTTTAAAAAAAAAAATCCTTAAGACAGGAGCGGCAAATTTTTTTCTTTCACGAATAATTTACGGATAAATAACGGCAAATTGTCAGTTAAAAAATTTTTGGAAAAATTCAAGTTTGATATCAAGTTAGCAGAACATCTCATAATTTAAAAAAAAAATGAGCGGCAAATTTTTTTCTTTCACGAATAATTTACGGATAAATAACGGTCGATAAGAAAAAATTAAAATTTAAATCAAAGTTGTTCTGCTAACTTTATGCACATGTTATAGGCCAACCAAAGGTTTGCAACACCCTAAGTGTGCTCGGTATCGTTTTCTTGGTAAAAGGCAAGTTGTTTTCGATATCCAATTTTTAACACTTGGCTTAACATTTTGTTTTAATATTTTAAGGTACCCAAATTTATCCATTATACCATCTATAAAATGTAATGGGCCTATGCAGCCCCAAACCATCACAGAACCTCTTCCATCTAAATTAAATTTACTTTCATCGGTAAATTGAACCTTCAATAAACTAGTTCCAATAACAAAAATGAATTTCTGATTTTATTAATGGGCTTATGACACTACATTGCTGGCCTCATTCATTGATAATTTTTTTAAAGCTATACGATTTTACGTAAGTGAAAGCAAAACAAACGTACACTAGTCGGCATAATTATTTTGACGAAACTCTTTTTTGACTATTGAACTTAGCGTTGCTGGAAATGAGGCGCAAAACAAAGAATATATTTTTACCTATGTGCATGCCAAATTTTATTTCCTTTACCTTTTGCATTCAATTTTTACTGATAAGAATGCATGTGGTCAACGGTTTTCTGCGTGGCACAAGTATTTTGACAGCATCTTTATGGAAATATTTTCACACTTTTAAGCACGCGAGAACCAATGAACTTCTGTGTTTCATTTGGAGTAATATTAAACGTTGTTATAAAACAGAAAGTTATTAAAAATCAGTCAATAACATGGGTAAAACGGCTGAGCTAAGTTTGGTTACCAGATCTTCAATAGTAGCAAAGTTTAACGCTGAATAGCAGTCAAAGACATTGCCAATGAGTTTTGTGTGTCGCGTCAAACTGCGCACTACCAAATTAAAAAGTTTAAAAAGCATATGACATACGTAATTAAAAAGATCGGGTGCTAAGCGCAAAACAGATCTCAGTGAAGACCGAGTCCTTGTATGGGAATTTAAAAAGAATATTTTTTTAAGCCCCAATCCGCAGCAGATCAATTTAATTTGTCAGCTAAGACACCGATTAGTGAGCGCACAGTCCGTCGGCGATTAAAAGAATGCGATTTTAAGACTTATAAAGCCAAGGACGCCACATATATTACAGAAAAAACAAGCTTAAAAGACTGTCTTTCGCAAAGGAACATCTTCATAAGCCAAAGGAGTTCTGGAGAAGCGTTCTATGGACAGATGAAAGCTCCTTTGAGTATAATTCATCAAAAAATAAATTTTTGTAAGATTACCAATTCTCCAAAGGCAGAAACGGCGGCCCGTTTGCCAAAAAGTAAGCCATGGTGGAGGCTCTGTGATGTTCTGGGGATGTGTGGCTTATAATGGACTGGGTGACCTCGTTCCTGTCACTGGCTCGATGAACCAAGGCCAGTATTTGCGGGTTCTAAATGATAATGCGTTTAGTTCCGGAGACAGGCTTATTGGACACACCTTCATTTTGCAACAGGATAACGCCCCATGTCACAAAGCCAAAATAATTACAACATTTTTGAAGGATGTTGGTGTTACCATTTTGGACTGGCCACCTCAAAGTCCAGATTTAATATAATTGAAAACGTCTGGTCTCTTATAAAACGTAAAAGAACAGTATCGTTGAATAAAACCAGAGAGGAGACAATTTCTGAGGTCACTTCCCTTTGGGAAGAGATATCTCTAGAGATTATCCAAAATTTAGTCGATTCAGTACCGCGACGCTTGCAAAATTTGTTGAAACCAAAGGAAATTATATATTTTACTAAATTATTTTTTTCCTTTGGTTTTTTTAAGTTTAAGCTTTATTATTCATATTAAAAGGTACTTGTCAAAATACTTATGCCACCACATGAAAATTACTTTAGCTTATATTTTTTTAAGTTCATATGACAAAATGTTGAATTCATTATTTTTAAGTTTGTATTAGCACTAAGTAAAACAGAAAAAAAAATCATTGAGTTATATTAAACCATTAAAAAGTTAAATACAAATTTGAACCATTAGTTTTTCGTCAAAATAATTATGCCGACTAGGACTAGTGTATGACAATTCCAATGAGCAATGAATGAAGAAAA